TCAATAAGAAAACTTGAAAGAGTTCAAATAACAAATTGGCGCGATAGGTTCTCAATTGAGACATGCCAAATATCGACACAATGTAGAAAAGAAAGAAATTGTACAGAAACTTTTTTAACTTGCAAATTCTTTAGCGCGCCTCGGAATTCTGTGGCAATCAAACTCTCTGAAGTTTTGCGTTCAGACACGGGTTCAGATAAAACTTCTACCGTTAAAATGTAGGTAAATAACTTGGGAACAAGGAAAAAACTGGAATGAAATGAGGTAATTGTGTTAGGTAAGTAGCGGATTTTTTTATTACATGATGTTAGGCTTTACTGTTATTTTAGATACGCTGTGACTATGCAAACTCGTTTATTTCAAAATTACCGCGTACATGAAAAAGAATTCCACACGAGTAAGTAACTAACACCATTAACCACAATTATTTGAGGGGCACAGACAATTTAAAGTTTAATAAGTCAGTGTTTCAACTTTGTCGAAATATGTTTATATTTCGAGCTCTTAGGTTTTCGCGATTGTTACATATAGGAAATGAAAACTATTTTTCCGGATTTACCAACCCATGTTGAACGTGACCATGGGACCTGTAAAGGGCCCAAACGTTTGGTTTGTTTGAAAAAACAAATATTGATTGAAATCCGGAAAAATAGTTTCATTTCCTATATATATCTACATTAATAAATTATAGTCTAATAAGACTATTAGAAGCTTAAGGTATTATTAATAATTATTGATAATAAGATATAAGGCAAGAGCAAGGGAAACCGCATGTTTAAAATTATTAAAATTATGTTAAATTCATATAAATATAAACAAATGGTAATTAACAATATTTCATAGCGCTACCTATATTTACTATTGCATAACTATAATACCAACGTAAAGAAGTGATAAATATTATGAAATGCATTATCAGTATAATTTTTATTAGTTGGAGTTCCCCATTGTGCAGTTCTATAGGATCCACACTGTAATATGACTAAAATGCTAATAGTTATAAATTCTGGAATACTTTGTAACACCCAATACGAGTATACTTATACATTTTAGCTCCACAAAACAGGAAAATGTAAAACACTAGCAGTAGGAAGTTTAATTGAATTCACATCACAATTTTTATTACACAATTCCATAGTTTGTGATATGAACTTTTATTATTATAATAATGATCTTTTTCATTTTTTAAACAAAGACAAAAGCAATTAAACAACAAGGCGACAAAGTCTCAGTAAGAATGAAGTGCAAAGATTGATGATGAGTTGATGATACAAGCATGACTGTGAGTCAACTTAACGAAGGCCAAGCGCCGCGCCGGATGCCGACACCAGCAGATAACAAGCATTTGTAACACTACTATTAGTGTAAAATTACATGCAAATGGGAGGAAAATTTAACTAATGTTAGTTCGAAATGTTGTATTCAGCAATTAAGAACGACAGTTTTGCTTTTAGATCACAGGTATAATAGATATATAGATAACATGATTGAGCTGGTATTAAAATACATCAGACGTAAAGCCAAGTACATCCTGAGAGTGGAGCGTTTGGAGTCCCGCCACAGCGTCATTTTAATTTGTTTGTGGTGAGAATGCCAATCGAACATCTGCCGATTTTCATGAAGGAAGACTTTTGGTTAAAGGGTGTCGTAAACCGGCGATTCCGGGACAGGTTACCTAACACCAGATTCCGCCACACTTCGCCGACGAGTGCAATTCGTGTAGATTAGTTATTTAGGTTTTATATTATATTGTGCAATCTGGAAAACACACATACAAAAGAAGCGTGATGAGGTCAATAAGTTCAGATCATTGGAATGGCTTCTGGGCAAAAAATTCCTGATTGTCCTCTGAGAACAAGTTAATCATCTACAAAACAGTCCTTCAACCGGTTTCGAATTACGGGTTGCAACTGCGGGGATCAGCAAGTATGTCAAACTTGAAGATATTACATATTATCTGAAAATTCCATCTGCCCAACCAGGGCAAGTAGCCTATAAGGACAGAATCTCACGACATGTAAACAGGCTTGCACAAGCTCTGAACGATCCTCTAAGTAACAGACGATTGAAGAGACGACGCGTCATATAGGACTAAAGGAAGGAGACATTGGAAAGATGAAAGCAGCCTAACGCCGGGCGGGCCAGTCTAGCACGCCAAATAGATCACAACAAAACAACTGCTTAATCCAAGAATCGATCGCATGTTGCAAAAGGTATTATAAGAAAGAAAAAATATAATATTTATGTATGTTAGTCTTTAAGGTATAGTAAGGTAAATTAGCCTGCCGCCGCTAGTTGTAAGGGCGCTTGTGACAAAAACTCAATATTTACTTTTCTCTTGTGGTAACTTCATACCTTATCCATATAGGAAAAAATAAAAATAGTGAGAATTGGCTTTTCTTACTGATCACGGCAGTATATATATACATATTTTTAATGTCATAGAGTGTCGAAATGAATAAATAAATAAACAGTGTTTTTTTTAATGGGACAGTATGGGGAAATCCAAAACCATTGAAGACACAAGGAAACTGTCTTAGGAACCATTAAGTCTTTTTTTGTGAAAGCAATTTTGGCATATATAGTCAATTTTTTGGTGTAAGAATGAGTTGCCTACAAAAATGAATAAAATTGATCAATATTTTTTCTAGTGCTATACTGTCCCATTAAAAAAAAACATCTGTATATGTGTAACATAACTAAAAAGTCAATGAAATGAAAATAAAGGTATTACTACTAAGACCGATGAAATAATAACTAGAATAAATGAATAGTTGAGAAATGTGCATGTTGATACACTTTATAAAATGTTACAATACAATTCCTGTATAAAAATATAAAAATAACCTTTCTTAAATTAACTGCAAAAACAATAATTTACATTTTTAGTTGAAATAGTGTACAAAACTTATTTGGAATTTTGCCATTTTCCATTGAACGTAGTTGAATGTGAATAATAAATTAGAAATACAATACAATTCCTGTATAAAAATATAAAAATAACCTTTCTTAAATTAACTGCAAAAACAATAATTTACATTTTTATTTGAAATAGTGTACAAAACTTATTTGGAATTTTGCCATTTTCCATTGAACATAGTTGAATGTGAATAATAAATTAGAAATTATGTGTAAGAAATATATTAGAATGATTACTTGCATTTTTACTAGCCAATTACTAAAATATGACTGTTATTATAATATTTCGTTATCACTTGTAGCAATCTGCTTTCTTGAATGACTTTTAAAAAAATATCATGGAAATCATACTATATAATTAGTTTTCTATTTTTTGTTGTAAACAACCACAAAAAATATATATTATTAGCCTTTCTGTCACCTGTAATAATTAATGGATATATTTGAAAGATTCAAAATATTTTTTAAATCTTTGTCATGATTTTCTACTTGTAATATATGGATAAGATATAAATTAAAGTGGCATGCAAACATCGTGTTTCGTAATACAATTATTCTCTTAATTTTGTATAAAAAGTCTATTTTACACAAGAACATTAACTTGATTAACAATTTGTATATTCAAAGTAAGTATTTTGACATACATTTCAAGTATTTAACAATGATAATATGGCAGACAATCACACAAACACATCATCAAGAACTAGGGCGATAAGAAGATATTGTATATGCTTAGTATAATGTGAGGAAATTAACTTCCGTGGCACTTATAAGAACATCCTTCCAGATCAGAAACAATTTGAAAAAGAAAGAAAATACTTTCCGAAATAAGTGGTACTGGAAATCACCACCTCTTATCTACCCAGTTCTTTCCAAGTAGAATTTCTGAATTGAAGTAATGTTGAATAGTGATAAAAAAAAAGAATCAATTAAAAAATCTTTTATCCAGACAAGTTGTACTGACTATATTTAATAACTTTGAAAACTCCATAATAGATAGTGATACACTTTTACCTCCTTATAATAAACATATTGCATTTTTTTAAATATAAATTCACAACTTCAGTGCATAAAGCTTTATATTCAATGAAGTTTTATTTCACATTGTAATTGTGGCAATAATTTCGGATAAATAAGACTAACTAGTTCACAGTAACCAATATCAGGAGGGAAAAGGAATGTTGAGAAAAAATAGAGGTAAAAGGTGTTACACAGCCTTGAGGTTCAATCAAAACATGTACAAAATTTATGTCAATTTAACAATCTATATGGTTGTTAAATTTACATGAACTTTGGTCACCCTCAAGATCAAAATGGAATGGGCAATTTTAAAACAATAGAAATCTCCATAACTAATAATTGATAATGAAGAGCCAGTAACAAACTTCTCTTTTATTAAATCTTAACCTTTGTTATATAGTACTTGCAATTTTTTTTTGCCATATTATGTTACAAATCAGATTTGGTTAAAACAGATATCTTAACTTCCTTTAATAGGCATTGAAATAACCCTAGCAAATGTTTCATCTAAGGTGGGTAAGGGAATAATATTTCTTGCAGTATTAGAGTTTAAACAGTATCTTGTAAATCCATTTGCAAAGCTTTTTATATATGATTTTGAGTTAACAACTAATAAGGTAATTTAAGGTCTTATTCTACAATCATCATTATCATCACATAGTCAACACTTCACCAGCACCTGGTACATGACTATAATTATGGCATTTTAATGTAAGTGCACCTGCTTTAAACTTACTTAAGCATGAAGTTTACTTCCAACATTAAAAAAGCAGTAAAGTGCCGCCGAAGGAGGTATTTTGGGTTAAAACCGCGCAACGCAACAGTCTCGCTTCAATGACAGCTATCATTCAGTGTCAAGTCAGGGGTGGGGCGAGAGGAAAAAAGATTCCTATTATAATCACTGTAACACCTTCCACTAACCTATACATCGACAAGAATATAAAAATACCCATACATTTGACCCAAACGAAACAAATAATGCATGATTTTAATGCTATTTCTTTGTGAATTCGAGGTCATCAATGAGACCTTTGGTTATGAGCTACGAGCAGTCAACTTACCGCTTGAAGCGCCGCTAACCTGTCCTTCGTCATCCTTTAAGGAAAATCACACACCAAGTAAACGTTTTATCTTGTTACACAATCCCATTCACAGATATTTTTCTAACAAACGTCACTAAACTAAAGGACACGAACACTACGTTCACTTCACTCAAAAATCGATACACACGACACGAACGAAACTTCATCCGTCTCGCCCGTTTGTGCTTACACTAGAGTTGAAGATTAATACTGTTACTTTTTATTGTTACAACATGTAGCAAGTAATATTTAGTAAAATTATACATATTTTTTATTCTCAAGATAAATGCATTGAAATTAAATCATGGCTTTTCAGAATCTATTGTAGTTCTTTACGTAGAGTGACTATAGCGGTTTTAATAATTTACAGAGGTCATAGATTAGGTCAATAGCCTATTCTAAACTTATTCGTAGTACTACTATTGAAAATTCGCATACTAAATTTCAAACTGATTTGACAAACATATTTGAAAAATGGCGGACAATGGCCCAAACCCTCTCCTTGGAGGTGACTCGTGCCCAGCAGTGGAATGTATTATTAGTTGCTGTTGATGATGATATGTGAAGCAAATTTATTTGGTAAAACCAATTTACGTATTTTTATATTTTGCCGTAAGCTGATACTTATCTCCTAAACAGTGCGTGTGCGTACAGGGTTGTGTAGTCAATGACCTAAGAACTATTAATTTTTGACACAGGCCGAGAGGAACTAGTTCCTTGGGTATGGTCGTATTAGTTCACAAGTCTTTTAGTTCCGTAGGAATGGGACCTGTTTGCGGAGCCACAGACGTGAGGCATAAATAATATGATTTATTTCACCTGTCTTTTTAGTTCTTTCGTTGTTTCAGTTCACAGACACAAGGCAAGACGGTACGAACGAGACAATTAATAGACTATAATTGCATTTACTACAAATTCATGCACAAGTGTGCATGAATTTGTAGTAAATGTGAGTGAGATGCACAATTGAACCTTGCCAGCTAGTTTAAAAACCACAAATATCTAAATAAATATTTAGATTTCAGTAAGACTCAAATAGTATAAACTTATAAGTACCTATACAAAAACATTGTTTCATAGTTACTTTTATTTTATTCATCAACTTTAACACACTTCACACCATGTGTAAGTATACATTTTATTCATATTAATAAGCATACCTATATAAAATAACAATCTCAAATACAACAATTAAATATGTATCTTGAAAGAAAATTATAACGTAATATTAAAAAAATAGTAAATATGAAAAATCTTTATTCTAAAAACACAAAAAGTATATCAAAGAGGAAAACAATAAAACATTCGTATTGAAATTTATTAATCGTTCATACGGATCATTTCATTCAGTGTCCTTCAAGACCGAAACGGCTCCTATTCCAATCCGATTTCCAACTCCCACTTAACTAAGGAACTAAAGGAACTAAAAGATCGAAATTTTTAAAATTTGTCAGAATGAACTAATTGGGATCGCACCCTCTAAAAACTGTGCATGCATAAGTCTGTAAGGTGTTGTAAGCAGGTATATGTGTTACATATTATTATTAATATTTAAATACGTATACTAAATGCGTATATGACTACTGTGGACTTTATTATCTCTCAATGTTGCCTTGAATACTTGCTTACAATGAATGCGCTGTGTGAATGTAGGCTTTAATTTTTTTTTATTTCATTAATAATAAGATGAAAATTCAATATTCCAAAACTAACCCATTCATTCTGGATGCACCTGATTAGTTAGTTTATGATATGAGCTTTCTATTTCTTCTACTCCAGCATTAAACTTACCAGTTTAAAATGTCTTTTATGTGGTTGTCTAAATACACACATCAAAAGTGTCTAGGGATCAAGTACGTTTAAGAGTATTGCTGCAATTAGGGTTAATTATATTAACTTTTTTGTATCGCTATTGATACTTTTTAGTGAGTTTTAACATTTAAATGAGGAATATTGTTTAAAATTCGATAATAAGAAGAAAATCGATTGTCAATGTGGTTTTGTATAAAAATGAGTTACAGCGTTTTGACAAAATCATTACAATATCTGCATCGGAACCGAAACAATTTACATTATTGTGGAGAGACGACATCATTTAACCCGAGAAGTGATGATGCGAGCCGTCGGAATGTTGGAAGCTGGTTCCAGGCAACGTGCTGTGGCTTTCACTCTTAACACTACACAGAGCGCCATAAGTCGCCTCTGGACGCGCTATCGCATGACGCGCAGCGTGGCCGAGCGACATGGAGGACGATCTCGCATCACGACTCGCAGACAGGACCGGTATATCCAAAATATTGCTCGACGGAATCGTACCATGACCGCCATGATGTTGGTTACGAGGCTCCACAGCTCCTCAGGCTTGCTAATAAGCGATCAAACAATCCGAAATCGTTTACGAGAAGTGGGTCTGCGATCCCGAAGGCCGCTCAGAGTTCCACTTATTGCACCCTGCAATCGCAGGACCCGTTTACGATGGGCTCGCGAACACAGAAACTGGGAGGAAGAAGACTGGCGTTATGTGTGCTTTTCGGATGAATCCCGCTTCGGTATGAGACCGGATACAAGACGTACTCGAGTTTGGAGAACATCTGGATGTCATGAACGTTTGAGATATTGTCAGGAAGTTCATCCATATGGTGGGGGAACAATAATGATATGGGCCGGTATGGATCGGCGGAAGAACCGATCTCATTTGGATCAGGGGTAACCTCAATGCTCAAGTTTACGCAGAGAGGATTGTTTCAGATGTTATCATCCCTTTGCGAGGCCAGTTGGGTGATTCATTTCAACTAATGCATGACAACGCACGTCCACACACGGCTAGAGTCGTAACACGCATTCTTGCCGAAGCTCGTATCAACGTTCTGCCGTGGCCTGCTCAATCGCCAGACCTCAATCCTACTTACTACTAGACCAAAATAAATTGAGCACGCATGGGATATGCTTCAAAGAAGAGCTGTGCCGAGTATGCATACCGTACATACTCTACAACAATATTTTGACTTGTTACAAAACACATGGGCGGCCATTCCTCAAAGTGATTTTGATGAACTCATCTTAAGCATGCCAAATCGCTGTAATTGTGTGATTCGTGTTAATGGTGGAAATACAGATGATTAATTTTCTTATCTTTACAATAAAAATGAGCAAAATCATCATTTTCGCCATTTTTTTGTCATTTAATTGTTAATTTGAGTTTTTTCCCACAATTTGCAAAAACATCAATTTTAGTTTATTTTAATTAAATATAGGGGTAAGCGGTTAAATAAAACATAAGCATTAAAGTAAGAAGTCGTCCTGGAAGACTGGATTTGGTAAATATTGCTTAAATAATTTTTATTTCAAAAATATTCACTTGATCCCTAGACACTTTTGATGTGTGTAAGAGGACTTTTCACTTATACTAAAAACAGCAAAGTTAGCGGAATAGATTACTTTATAATTTGGACTTAAAATATTTTTTTTTCTCTTGAATACCCGAAATTGACTGTTAGAATGTCAAGCATTCATTAAGTAATGGCTTCACAGTTACTTTGACTTTAGGTATTAGGCTTCGAGTACTTGCTACTATTTATCTCAACTCTAATTATGACATTTCGTTCAGTTGTAGATGGCGCCACTGAAACCAAATATCATGACGTCATAGGCACTATCGATAAAACAGTACTGTTTGAATTTAAGAAAGTTACTTTTTAAATGATTATTTTTAACTTTCGACTGGAACTACAATTTGAAAATAGAAAACACTTACATTATTTTTATAACTAATACATATATTTATTATCAATGGCATGGTTTGTATGTTTTATATTCTGATTTAAAAAGTTCTTTAGTTGGGTACCAAGTTCCTAGCGCCTACAAATGTCAAAGAATATTTTCCGTTTCGCCAAGTGACGCCATTGTGAGCCGTAACGACTTTCGACTGCGTCGGGTTAAATCTCAATTTTTTTAAACAATCTCGGTAATAAGTGATTTTATTTTGTGTTGCTTTTTTCTTTGAGTGGTGTGGTTTATATTGTTCACAATATTTGTGCGCTATGATCTGTATTTTAGTGAATATTTGGACTTATGTCCGGTGCTATTGAGCTAAATTCCTGTGAGCCTGGTTGAGCGCCATTCAATGAAAATTTTGGATGAATTCAAGTTTGCATTTTTGATAGAATTGTTTTTGTTGATAATTAAACTTGCTGATGAAACATTTGACTGTGTCAGTTAAATCATAAATAATTTTACCAGTAATGTCATCATATTATTCATCATTGTGAAGCCATTGTATGGTTATTTTTGTAATGCCATTTTTCGTATAATTTCAGGAATTGGTGCACTGAAACTCCACAAAAATGACTGATGACATGCCAACATTCAAATGTGTATTAGTCGGCGACGGTGGTACCGGTAAAACTACTTTTGTTAAACGGCACTTGACTGGAGAGTTCGAGAAAAGATACGTCGCCACACTTGGTGTTGAAGTGCATCCACTAGTATTCCACACAAACCGTGGTCCCATCAGATTCAACGTATGGGATACCGCCGGTCAGGAAAAGTTTGGAGGTCTCAGAGATGGCTATTACATTCAAGGTCAATGTGCCATCATCATGTTCGACGTAACCTCTCGTGTCACATACAAGAATGTACCCAACTGGCACAGAGATTTAGTTCGTGTATGTGAAGGCATTCCTATAGTGCTATGTGGCAACAAAGTGGATATTAAGGATCGAAAAGTCAAGGCCAAAACCATTGTATTCCACCGGAAAAAGAATCTCCAGGTACATAATAAATGTGACAACATATTAACTAAAAAAAGTGACTAAATTAATGTACTTATTAATTTTGTTATAACTATGCTCACTTTTGTGTAAGTTGACTAACAATTTCAATAAAGAGTTACATTCTATTCATAATATATTCAACTTTATGCATTTTTTTACAGTATTATGACATCTCTGCCAAGTCAAATTATAACTTTGAAAAGCCTTTCTTGTGGTTAGCAAGGAAGTTAATTGGTGATGGTAACCTTGAGTTTGTTGCTATGCCTGCTCTGCTGCCCCCTGAAGTTACTATGGACCCACAATGGCAAAACCAAATTGAAAAAGATCTCAAGGAAGCGCAGGACACTGCACTACCGGAGGAAGATGAAGACTTGTAAATAAGAATCATTATAATACAAATTTCCAGTGGCCGAGCAATTTGATTCGGGAATCATGCTAACAGTGTTCACTTGTACACATAAATTTCATTCCATTAGGTTCAAGTGTTCATTAAGTGCACACTGATCAAATTTCAAATGGTTTGACATCATAATGCCTTGGTTTTGATTAATTACATTAAAAGCATTTTACATTATGCTAATGATCTATTTATTTTATTTCATGTTCACTGATTTTTCTGTGCTTTAATTTACTGTTTCATAGGCTGAAACTAACATGGAAAAATTGTGAAGGAGGAATCATAGGAATCTGTATTTGTCAGCTATTAGATATTTGTTCCTTATTTATGTTTTACTGTGCTATATGTTGTATGGTATTGCAAATAAATTTCCTTAAAAGACAAAAGATGTGTAAAGTACACGGGTCTCATGTAATTCTCACATGCATTCTTGTATTTGGTATTGTAATTATTGTTTTAAGTTTGTTCCTATAATTATTGTATTATTGTCACTACTTTTTTTATTCAAAATAGCACTAATCTTAACATTACAACAAGTACATAGATTATAATTCATCTAAAACTTGCTTTTTGTTACATACACATTATGGACTGACAATATTTCACTGTGAAATTGTGGTGATACTTTTTGAATAAAATTGAAATAATAATTTGTTATTTGATTTAAAATGAAACAAATATGGTCATGAAGCCGAGATGGTGTGTAGGGTTATGTTCGATAAAATACTATTATATGGGACATAACCTAATATTTGACTTTCTTTTTTACGACTGGCGAAATGGCGGCAAATAAAAACTTCTCACGCATGTCACACCGAAGTTTTTATTTTTAATTCATAGACAAACTAGAATCCGCCCCAACTATCATATCGTTCGATATCAAGTAAAGTGTAAAATTGTCAAAATTGTTTGCTATTGACTTGAGCATATAGGACTGGAGGCGTCTTCTATAGGCAATCCCCTCTGTCAAAGTACAAGCACAAAACAGCTATCGCACAATAAACACTACTTTCAAATTGATGTTTTTTCATTTTCATTATCGAATTCACCGCGTCAAGTACTCCACGAAACATGTCGGCTTGCTATATACAAACTTGCAAAAAAATATCTGCTGCAGCCAGTCTAGCTAAGGGTGGAATTACATTCCATATATAAGCCTATTTTTTTCATTGATTGCTAATTTTCTATTTTATGACATTTTTTTACAATGATCACATTGATTCAAATTATCGATTACATGTACACAATATTTGAAAACATTCGAATATTTCACATAAGCATGCCTATGATGAAGTTCCCTATTTACTAACAGGCAACTGTCATGGACCTATACTTAAAC